ATTTATTTATAGCCCACCCATCTGACTGGGTTTCCCTAGCCACTCTGGGAGGCTTCCAACAAAATATTAAAAATACAATAAAACATCAGACATTAAAAACTTCCCTAAACAGGGCTGCCTTCAGATGTCTTCTAAAAGTCAGATAGTTGTTTATTTCCTTGACACTCTATACCTGCAAGGATGCTGTGTCACTGTTTGCTTCAGGACAGGTATACCAGTGCTATTTTTGTCTAGAAAAACTGGTTCCTGAACTCACCATGAACACCTCCCTTGTTCTCTTCTAGTGGCAATGGTGCCCACTTGAGAGGTGCTGGAACTGAATTCGGGTGAGTTCTGACTGAAAGAAGGCCCTGGGTATACCATTCTTCCCCTCCCTCTCTCAATTGTCTTTTAGTGTGGGTCTGTGGCAAACTGTCATGCTCAACTGTCTCTTTTGGGCAAGATAGGGATCCTTTTTACTCTTTTGATCAAGGGGTGTATACTGCGTAATTTGCTGCCTGCTTGGATTATAACTTGACTGACTGAAAGCAGCATCACTATGCTCTGCCACCTTTATTTCTTGCAATAAACCAACCTTTCTTTATTCCTCTGCTGTGAGTACTTCTTGTAGGCTGAGGGTAAACCATAGCTGTCAACTTTTTCCTTTTCTTGCAAGGAATCCTATTAGGAATAAGGGAATTTCCCTTAAAAAAAGGGAAACGTTGACAGCTATGGGGTAAACGCATATTCATAACAGACACATCTTCGAATGCAGCCAATGCTTTAGTTTAAGGTTGGCATTGGGGGAAACAGGGTACTTCTGCCATTAACAGCTGTATCCCCGCCATCAGGACTGGCAAGACACAGCCAGCTTCCCATGTTAACTTTCCCGGAAGTTGTCTCCAGGTGTGGGAAGGAGATGCAGCAATGTGAGCACTCTCTCCAATGTTGTGTTATACTATGCCGCCAGGACAGCCATTTTGTGACAGGTGCCCACAACGCTCTCTCAAAATCTGAAGTGTGTTGGTTTCTGTTTGTACCACTGTGCAGCGCTTGGAGTCACAAGACTCTGTTTTGCATTCCAGAGATTCCAGGCTGTTGGAAGTCTCACGGAAGACGGGAGACTGATGTGATGTTTTACTGGTTTCCTGTTCCTTTGTTTTCAGTTGCTCTCTGCTTTCACAGAGAGAGCACGTATATTTCTTTTCTGTCTGCGTAGTTAGAAATAAAACGTAGCAATGTAGCTCATACATTTCTCGTCCTTCCCTGATGCTGGCTACTCTGCGTAATGAGGGAACGCGCCTGGAGCCTTATCAGAGGCTCAGGTCGTTAATCATCGTTGGAGGCGATTCCGAAGGACTCGACCGGAGGATGAGCTTTTCCAGCTCGGTCATAGCGGAGATTCCGACAAAGTGTGCCCACTGGTCCAAAACGGTTGGTGAAGCTTGCTATGCACCGAGGATTTCTGTCCCTCCACAATACACCTCCTTTTTCTTCAAATGTTCTGCGACAACACCTGAACGACCATACTGCTCTTTGAACTGCAACTCCCATCGGATCCAGCCAGCACTGCCAATGGTCAGGAGGAATGGGCGCCTGTGAAGGGCCACAATCTCCCCACCCCTGCTCTGTGGTGAATTCCTTATCTGTCTGGCCGGAAAAGAGTCTCACTACTTTCCTCAGTTTCCTATGTTAAGAGATGGTGGAAACCTGGCAACGGGTCCCAGGATGTAAACTCACCTTACCTGTGCTCTGGCTTCCCTCTGGAGAATTTGTGGCTTTCCTGTTAAGAGAAAAATTGTGGGGGGGGGAGTGATGGGTGTAGGTTGCAAACTTCTTGTTCTTTTGGATAGCTTCCCCTCCGTCATTATCATTTATTGAGCCTTTCCATTTGAAATCTGTATACAGAGGAGCTCCATTTCACACATTTTAAAGGGAGGGTTCTGGATGAGGAACTTGAAGTGAAGGTGGGTTCCCACGAGGCAAGAACCTTTATTGAACTAACAGAACTAGACAACAAGGGCAAAGCAACTGCTTATATACATTTCTGCAAGCCTGGGCCACTCTCACTCCCAACTTGATTGGCTGTCTAAACTTCCAAGCTGCGAATCATGACTCAGAGTTTAAGGGCCAATGGCAGAGGCCCAAACCCTGAAATGTTCTGTGATTGGATATCATGTATCAAATCAGAACACAGGGGCTCAGAATCCTTAGTCCAGACTCAAGTTCTGGCAAACACAGACCACTGAATACATAACAGAACTCCCTGGAAGTCTGGCAACCACCCTGCCCGACAAAGCCATGGGTATGCCGCAGAACTGTCCCAAGCAAAGTTATGGGGTGGGGGGCACTATCTACCACTGCCTTTTGACATTCCCCTTCTCTCTCCTTTCCTCGGTGGCTGCCAATTCCACTTTCTCAGCAAACCAAGAGGAGGAAGACCTAATGAGTTCCAGACCAGCATATGGTGTGCCTGCGGTGGGGAAGGCACGGAGCAGTTTTTAAGCATCAGCTTGCGCTTATGCCTGTTTCCCGTGAGACCAGCTCTGCTTCATTAGCAGGGGCTTTCAGCTCTGATCAGCGGAGTGACAGCACGACTCTTTGGTCAGGACTAGATCAGTGCACAACTATTTGTGGGTGAGGTGGTTGATGTATCAACTGATCCATCACAAGTAAGTTCCTGAGCATTCCCTGAGTCATTATCTTATGATAACTGAATGATAAAAACATAACCTTCTGTATGATGAACCTTCTGTTCAAACAGTCTAGGTTGAAAATGCTGTCTAATTGCGTGTCTAGACCCCATAACCACTCCCTCACTGAAATGAAACACACAGGATACCAATATTAGGTTAATGTTATTGGGCAAGTTTTGGCCACAGCTTTATTGATTACATAATGTGAGCGGTATTGGCTTAGGCATTGAATGGACCCGACTATATCTGACTCCTGCCCGTGGCTGGTAAGGGTAAACCACCAGAAGGGGGAGCCCCGTCAATCCAGACCAACTCGAGCTCCGCCAGGTGTTCCCGTTGGGGTCGTGTCATGGCCCTAGCCCCGGGCTTTGGACAAGATCCACACCCCCGTATTCCTTTAACGGAATACCCTTAAGCTTGGAGGGGCAGGTGATGGCCACACCTCCCCTCCTCCATCATAAGATCAACCAGTGCCTAACCGCTAAACCTTACAAAGTTGTGATGATTGCTACGAGGTAGGTGAAAACCAAATGGCCCATGCCAATTTGCCAAGTGGAAAAATTCCTACCAGGCCCCTCAACGGCGACCAACCGAGGTCCATAGCAAGGCCAAATTCGAAACCTGAAAATAGGGAAGGAGGGCGGGAGATCGAGGAAGTGAGCCAAGAGGAAGCTCTCCGGCTCACGCCTCAGTTTAAATGGGGCCCAGCCACACCTCCCCAGCCAGTGGATTGGCTGGCAGGCGAATGACATGGCTGGGACCTCCAGGGGACACAGGACTTTATCCCCTGCCCCCGGAGGGGAGTGGGTGGCCACGTGGTCCACCGCAACTCCTCCCCACTGGGAAGTGGAGTGGATTTGCCGTGATGTGCTCCTTACCAGAGCTATGACGAGTGCTCCTGATTGCTGGATAGATCACTGATTAATACGCTCCACGGTGGCTATCAAGATTAAACCTCAACAGAGGCTTCAAGGAACAAAACCAAGGCACAAAATGAACACTCAAGCCCTTCAAGATCCTATTAAGCGGAACTGCTTCCAAACAACTCTTAAGGACCATCTGCTTCCGGAATTTCCTAATAACGTCAGGGAACACTGGACCAAGCTAAAAACACCCATTATTGCAGCCTGAGAACAAACTATTGGATACTAAACCAAGAAACACCAGGACTGGTTTGATGAGAATGACAGTGAGATTGGATGCATTATTGACAAGAAAAGGAAGGCCTTTCAGATCTGGCAAAACTGTGCCACTAAGAAAAAAACCTATGCCAACGCTAAGGCTGAGGTTCAAAGAAGAACCAGAGAACTAAAGAACACCTGGTGGATAGAAAAAAGCTCAAGAGATCCAGCACTTAGCCACTGGCCACTGACACTATCCAAGAGTTTATGTCGTAGTATTTACATAGTATGAGGATAAGTACCTCTGGTGGTGGCAAGGACTTTGGAAATCTTTGAGCTACTGCTTTAAGTCCACAGCACAGATATAACAAAAACTATTCTGTATAAAACTGTGCCCCTCAAAGGTCAGTACTGCACCCCTCTGAGGTCTGCATCCAAGGTAGCTATCTAGTTGATCTCATGATAGCACCAGTCCTGGTTTTACTTAGTCAGGACTGTGCTTCTGCGAACCCTGAACTGCTGCAACGCCTGCCATTCTTCTTCCCGCATTAACCTCCTGCAGTTCCCCTTCACACCCCATGCAACCACTAAGCTCACTCCTGACCTTGCCAACACTACTTCTTTCTGTTCTCCAGTCCTGCTCTGCCCCGTTTTCACTTCCGCATCCAGGCCTCCCCACTCCTTTTGTGCCACCCTCGCCCCCTCAAACCAGTCTCCTGATAACTTCTTGCATCTTCTTCCACACATTGCAACTTGTAAGCACCCTTTCCAGTTTCTGTGCAAGTCTGAAGATGCCATTCCCTCTTCTTCAGATCCTTTCATGCCCTTGCTTTCATCTGTGCCCCACATTCCCATGCTTCCTACTCCCTCCTTTTCTGCAACCCTCTTTGCAGCTGCATTTTCACCTTCACTCTATCCTCCTCCAAACCTTGCTCAACCCTCCATTGCACACAGACCACCCCTGCATTTTCACGCCACCTCCTGCAGCCCCCACCCCTTTGCTTACCTTCTTCTCTGGCGATCACTCATAGACAAGTAAGAGTGTCTTTCATGAACACGGTTTTAACAGTGAGTCCGTAAGTGACTGTGAAGACCAGTTCTGGATCCACATGTCCTTCCACAGTGGGGACATAGGTTTCCGGGTGGGAGTTGATCACAGTGAGGGTTTGCCAAATGTGCCTTCTTCTTAGCATGTTCCCCCTTTTGTCCTGAGTTCAAGCGTCTTCAAAGTCCATGACACCTTTGGCAAAGGCTGTTCTCCAATTGGCATGCTCGCAGGCCAGTGTTTCCCAGTTGTCAGGGTTTATACTACATTTTTAAAGATTTGGATTGAAAGAGCCTTTAAACCTCTTTTGTTGACCACCAGCATTACACTTTGCATTTTTAAGTTCAGAATAGAGTAGTTGCTTTGGAAGGCAATAATCAGGCATCTGAACAACATGGCCAGTCCAATGAAGTTGATGTTGAAGAATCACTGCTTTGACACTGGTGATCTTTGCTTCTTCCAATACACTGGCATCAGTTTGCCTGTGTTCCCAAGTGATGTGTAATTTTTTTTGGAGAAACCGTTGATGGAATCTTTCAAGAAGTTGGAGATGGTGTTTATAAGTGATCCATGTTTCGCAAGCATACAGTAAGGTTGGTAGTACAATAGCTTTGTAAACAAGCATTTTTGTTTCCCTGTGAATGTTCCGGTCTTCAAACACTCTGCTCTTCAGACGGGAGAAAGCTCCACTCACAGAGCTCAGATGATGCTGGATTTCGACGTCCATGTTGGCCCTTGTGGAAAGATAACTGTCCAGGTAGGAGATGTCATGTACATTTTCCAACGTTACACTGTTGAGTTGGATTTGTGGCACTGCAGAGGGGTTATTTTGTACTTGTTGGTGCAGCACTTTGGGGGTTTTTTTTGGATGTTGAGTGATAGGTCAAGTTTTTCATAAGTTTCTGTGAAGATATTTAGGATGGTTTGGAGGTCATCCTCTGAGCGTGTGCACACTACGCTGTCATCAGCATACTGAAGATCTATGACAGAATTACGGTAACCTTACTCTTTGCTTTCAGCCTGCTCAGATTAAAGAGCTTTCCATCTGTTCGATACGTCATTTCTACTCTAGTGGGTAGTTTCCCTTCAACAAAGTGTAGGATCATGGCAATGAAAATAATGAATAGAGTTGGGGTGATAACACTGCCTTGTTTAACACCTGATCCCCATGTGAATAGTTCATTTTGAGAGCCATTGTTATCTGTAATGGTTGCTGTCATATTATCATGGAAGATCCAAATGATGCTCACAAATTTATCTGGGCAGCCAATTTTCAGAAGGACAGTCCACAGGGCATTATGATTTACAGTGACAAAGCCTTATTGAATGCCATATACAGGGGTTGGTATTGCTCTCTGCATTTTTCATGAAGCTGTTGAGCGGTGAAAATCATGTTCACTGTCCCCCAGAAGGTCTAAAGCCATTTTGGAATTCAGGAAGGGTCGCCTCAGATATTGTTAAGAGATGGTTTGCTAAGATTCTTACAAGAATTTTGCTGGTCGCAGCTAATAGAGAGATGCCTTGATAGTTTACGCAATCCATTCTGTCAACTTTTAAAAACTGAAGTTAGCGGGGGTTGGGGGGTATGTATGCAAGTAGGTAGCCATGCCTAATGCACAAACTAGCCTGGCACCAGCCCTGGTGGAACCATACAGTACATCCTAAAGACACCACAATCTCCAGTGACCTTCTTTGCAAAGAAACCAAACCCCTGGGGTGAGGGCAACAATATATCCGGCTGGCTGTATCGTGCTTCAACCAAAGGAAGATCAAAGTGATCCTTTGTGAATTAACATGGGGTCCCACTCTGGCTACAGGTGGGTTTGAATCAGGCGAGTAACTAGGGCTGGATTTAGGCTTGATGAGGCCCTAAGCTACTGAAGGTAATGAGGCCCTTTATATGTCTAGCTGTCCTTTGTCAACAACAGATTGTTGCCGTTTTTTGTGTTGAATATATGCTACATGGTAATTTATGGACCTAATAGGTATCTAAAGCCATTTGCACATAACAAATAGAAGCCTACACAACACAAAACACTGTTGCTGTATGTAAGTTTTATTTTATTTGTTTTTTATCTTATATTTTGGAAATGTACAGTCATATCTCATGTTACATCTGCTTCATGTTACGTTTTTTCCGGTTGCGTCCCGCGGCAACCCAGAAGTACCAGAAAGGGTTACTTCCAGGTTTCGCCGCTCATGCATGTGCAGTAGCGCTAAATCGCGCTTCGCGCTTGCGCACAAGAGCCAAATCATGCCATGCCCATGCGCAGATATGGCACTTCAGGTTGCGGGCTTTTCATGTTGCAAACAGGACTCCGGAACAGATCCCTTTCGCAACTGGAGGTACCACTGTACATCCATTTTTCTTCCCCTTTAATTTTTTGTGGGGCCCCCAAGAGAGTGGGGCCCTAAACTATAGCTTGTTTAGCTTATATGTAAATGCGGCACTGAGAGCGACCAACATTTAACAAACAATGGGGCGAGGAGGGGGCGGAGATAAAGAGCCAGGAAAGGAGAGAAACAAAATGCGAAAAAATCGTAGCATCGTAATCGTTGGAGGAACCCTCAGGGTTCTCTACTCCAACCCCGACAACTAAACTAAACTAATAGGTAAAGGTAAAGGGACCCCTGACCATTAGGTCCAGTCGTGACCGACTCTCGGGTTGCGGCGCTCATCTCGCTTTATTGGCCGAGGGAGCCAGCATACAGCTTCCGGGTCATGTGGCCAGTACGACTAAGCCGCTTCTGGCGAAACCAGAGCAGCACACGGAAAAGCCGCTTACCTTCCCGCCGGAGTGGTACCTATTTATCTACTTGCACTTTGACATGCTTTCGAACTGCTAGGTTAGCAGGAGCAGGAACTGGGCAACGGGAGCTCACCCCATCGCAGAGATTCGAACCGCCGACCTTCCGATCGGCAAGTCCAAGCAGCATAGTGGTTTAAACCACAGCGCCACCCGCGTCCCCCTACTAAACTAATAGAGTACCAAAAAAAACTAAACTAAACTAAACTAAACTAAACGAGCACCAAAAAAAAAAAGTACCCAAAAAAGCTCTTTCACTCTTAATAGCTGAGGGAATTCCAACAGGAACAGGTTTTCTCCTCGTCGCTGCTGACAAGCTGTGCCGGCCCCTTTTCAGGGATGTCCCGTCGACAGCGCTGGGCGGAGCGGGCAGGCGGCTATACTTAAACAGAGCCGGGCCGGCAGGCGAGGGAATTGGGCAGCGGTCGGCGCGATGGATGTCCCCGGCGAGAGCGAGAGCTGTCGGCGCGGCGTGTGGCGCGCTTCGCTCGCCGTGCGGTGCGCTCTGCTGCTAGCCGTGTGCGCCCTGCTTGCCTCGCTGGCGGCGCTCGCCACGGTCCTGGTGCGTCGGGCGCAGGAGCCGCCGCGGGCGCTGCAGCCCCCGATGCCGCCGACGCCAGTGCCTTCTGGCTCTGAGAAATCGCAACATGGGAAGGTACCCTAAAGCTCATCTAGTCCAACCCCGCGCGAGGCGGCCAGCGCTAAAACAAGCCTTTCCCCATTTCTGCTTCTCCGACGCCTCTAACGCCAGACTTCTCTTTTCTTTTTCAGAATTGTACTCGCCTCGTCTTTAAGATCAGCGAAGGTACAAGTAAGTATCCCTTCCCGGAACACGTGTGCGCACTTGGAGTCCAGAAAGAAGGCCTTGTGGGATAGGGGATCACGCACTAGGACTGTAGAGAAGGTGGTTCAAAATGCAGGGGCCAGGGATCGCTTTGGAGCGCATAGAATAACCCCTGTTTTAGAACAGCTACACTGGTTGCCAGTTTTGCTTCCAGGCCTGATTTAATGTGTTCACACGAGTGTTTGAAGCCCTTGATTATTTGGGGCTCCAAACATCTGAAAGACTGCCTTCATTCCTACCAACCTTCTTAGCTATAAAGATCTGCAAAGGAGGCTCTGCAGTTCTCAGAAGTACAGAGAACGGCAGCCTGGGAGAGAGTTTTCTCTGTGGCAGCCCCTAAATGGTGTGCCTAGCACCTTCATCCAGGGCCGGATTTCGGTTTGATGAGGCCCTAAGCTACTGAAGATAATGGGGCCCTTTATATGTCCAGCTGTCCTTTGTCAACAACAAATTGCCGCTGTTTTTTGTGTTGAATATATGCTATATGGTCATTTATGGACCTAATTATCTAAAGTCATTTGCGCATAGCAAATCAGAGCCTACACAACACAAAACACTGTTGCTGTATGTAGGTTTTATTTTATTTGTTGTTTATCTTATATTTTGGAAGTGTGGATCCAATTTTTCCCCCTTTAATTTTTTTTGGGCCCCCAAAAGAGTAGGGCCCTAAGCTATAGCTTGTTTAGCTTATACGTAAATCCGGCACTGCCTTCATCGTACAGCGTTGAATGTGTACATTGTACAGCTCCATAAGGTATTTTGTGTTGAGGGAATTGCCTCTTCTGCTGAATTTATACTATTCTGGTTACTGCATTCATGTAGCTTTGTACAGGTGAAAGGTTGATAAAGAATCTTATAAATACAAGAAATAAGTCTTCTATGAGACTCCAAGGAAACTGGTGGGTGGCTCTGTTGGGTTGCTGCTGGGATGATGCAAAGGAACTGGTTGCTGTGGTGTGACAGATGTTCCCACTTGATTCCTCTCTTTTTACAGCACGCTTAAGGAACAGGCAACTGAACTGGTGGGATTGTAAAGTTGACGGAACAATATGTAGCTCAATATTTGAATACAATTCTTCAAGACTGGGAATTAAGTATGATGGCCTGTACAGCATCTATGCCCAGATGAATATTTCACACCAGTTAGCGAATGTTAAAGAGAAGGTGAATATCAGCCTCATCATCCATGGCCATCGTGACGGACACTCTTTCCGTATTCTGACCCTCCCGTTGAGTTACCCTGCTACAGCGCATACAAAGGAAACTGCAGTCACAGTTTTCATGGATGTCTCATCTTATCAACTGAAAGAGAATGATAAACTTTCCGCGGAATTAATGGCAAGTAACAAATACAAGAGCTGGACCCTTAGTCCCAAGGGTAACTTTTTTGGTATCTCCCAGGTTCCTGCAGAGCCTATTTCAGAAGAAACTGGAATCAAATGCCGTTCTTCGGTGTGTGGAATGGAGAAGGGTGCTCAAGAACTTTCAGACAACGCTTGAGACAATTCCTCTGGATCAAAAATGACAGCTGTAATTGTGTGCAGGCTCATGCAGATTACAGGGTCTGGAGAGAACCAGGACCAGAACTTCAGTGGGAAACTTGACATTCAAGACTGTTCCAAGTGCTGCTGTGAAATGCATGGATCTGTGTGGCAACTGGGACAATGTGTGGATAATTGGCACATGTCGTGCCTGTGTTTCACTGTGGGGCAATCACTATGTGTGATTGGGAAGAAAAGGGGGCAAGCTTTGCTGCTAGCACTGGTTTTGGGAATCCGCTCCTGAGAATGGGGTTGGGCTTGCTGACCTTTGAAGATCCTTTCATTCTTATTAGATTTATATGTTAATCTACTGTACGAAGTAGGTAAAATCAAGTTGAATATGTGACAGATTTCAGTCAGGCAGCAATTCCGGAATAATATTATGCAACTCATGAGATCTACACCAGCAGATGTGTGCCTGTCTTTACCCCATCCTGATATTGCTGTCCAGAGTGACATGTCTTTAGCTGTGATTCCTTCATGGGGTGGGACTAGATGACCTTTGGGGGACCCCTTCCAGCTCTACAGTTCTGTGATTCTTCTCATTTGGAGGTTGCAGCGGTCCTGGTTGCCTCTGGTGCTGGTCACTCAGTTTGTTGCATGCTGGCTTCCAGGAGATCCCAAACAAACCATTCCCTTTCCTTCTGCCTCAGACGGTATGGGTGGATCTCTGACAAGTTGCTCCTGAAAACACTATCAAAACCTTTATACATCCGTTTGTTTGATTGGGTGGCTGGCTTCACACCCTCTGCTTAGTCTATGCCCAGCTTCCAAAGAGATGCTGAGGTTCACGGAGATCCTTGCTGTCTGCATGTTAATGACTGCGCTTTCTGTTCCCAGTCCGTTTTGCCCATTCCTTCCCAGTTAGTGACTTAGATCTCTGCTTTGGTGAATTTTTGCATTCACCTGTGTTCTGGGCAGTGAAAGCACTGAAAACAAAAGTACTAAAGGAGCACATTAGTGATTTGCTTTCTCTTCCATCCCACAAAACACCCTGAAAATATCCAGCACTAATTAATAGCCCAGATCCAGACTAGAAAATGGGGGGTGGGAAACATACCTAATTTATATTTTATTTATGTTTCTTGATGTTGCAACAGTGTATTTTATTGACATATTTAATCTTTGTATTTTATTTTGAATTGTATTTAATATATGGCAAAGTAGTTGCATACACCAGTGTCTTAAGCCTGCACACCTGTAAGAGTGTATCTGGATATACCTCTGCAGTCTTGAAGGCTTGCTTTCCTGCCTTTCTATTTGCCCAACACTCTTCTCTCCAAAGCATCTCTGCTTATCAGTCTCCAGAGGCCACAGGCAACTAGATGTTTCAGGTAAGCAAGTACACAGAATTCCTCTCAAGCAGCTGAGTGGGCTGACAGAGGAGAGACAGATCAGGCCAGCATCATAGTTTCTGTGCTAGGCCATGGGAGGAGGGAGGAGAGTAGATTTCTTCATGGCCGGCTTGAAAATGCAGGATACATGCATTTTAGCTGGCTAGTTTAAAAAGAAAAATCACAACTATTGTATGTGTGTTTTCAAGGCTGCTGTGGAAACACCCACATCTCAGTTACATGAGTCAAATGTACTGCCAGTAGTAATTCTGAGAAAATCCTGTTATAATTTTTTTTTTTAGGAAACTCTGTTGAAGGGATATGATCTGTCTGTCTTGATCCTATATTAGGATCAAGGGTTGTAAAATGCACCAAGAATTTAGCATCTAGAGGGCCATAGGTTCTTCATTTCTCATTTTATCCTGTGAATTGCCCTGAGACCTGCAGGTATAGGGTGGTATACAAATTAAATAAATTAATAAAATTAATAAATTCCTGCACTTAACAGTCAGAGCCTGGCTTACATGAGACTATTGAACGTTAACATTTCATTTCTGCTGAGGTATGTTTGATGTTGCTGCTGTATACCGTATTTTTCGCTCTATAAGACTCACCAGACCACAAGAAGCACCTAGTTTTTGGAGGAGGAAAACAAGAAAAAAAAATTTCTGAATCTCAGAAGCCAGAACAGCGAGAGGGATCGCTGCGCAGTGAAAGCAGCAATCCCTCTTGCTGTTCTGGCTTCTGGGATAGCTGTGCAGCTTGCATTCGCTCCATAAGACGCACACACATTTCCCCTTACTTTTTAGGAGGGAAAAAGTGAGTCTTATAGAGCAAAAAATACGGTATTTTGTTTTTTTTGTTTTCCTTGAGCTGGTTCAAGTGTTTTCATTTCTGGTAGGCTTTTTTTAGGGCCAATTGGGCAGCCTTTTCTTTTTAATAGGATTTTTTTTGCCTGTTTTAGTGCAATTCCTTTTTATTATTTAAAAAGAGGGCTATCTTTTTAATAGAGAAGTTAGCTGTGCATTTTGTAAATACATAAATAAATGGTGAAGTTAAGACCATTTCAAGGTGCTATTTTTAAAGCCCTTCATTTCTTTGAAACTGCATATCAAATAAACTCTGATTATTATTGTTATTGTTACCGTTCAAATGTATATTAAGGAACATAAAGAAAAAGGTTGTATTTTTAAATTTTATTTATCCCTTGGGTATTGAATAAATAAAAACTGGTTAATTTATCATTTTTGTCTTTTTCTTTACATCTTACATAGTTTTCTCAGTTTCATTGTTGTACCTATATATTTTCATTAATATGGCTAGCATTTCATTCAGTAAATGACCATTTTGTGACAATACCTTTTGGACCAGTTGGTAACATTCAAAATTCCAGGTCACAGGTTTCCTGTAAAAATTGCTAACACTAGATTTTGATCTAATGCTATTTCATAGCCACCCATTTCCCTTGGTATATCTAAAGTATTAATGCAAAATTTTCTTGTGCCTGAGCAATTCCAGAATATGGCCGCACAAGTATTCTGAAGACCACTGATTTCAAGAGTGCTTAACTGCTTCTGAAGTTCATATGGTATAAAATACAAAAGAAAAAACACACAAAATGGAGCAGAGGGTGTATTCTTCTCTCTCCCCAGCATACGATGGAACTTGATGTTCCATCAGCCCCATGTCCAGCTTTGATGCAAGCCACTTCAGCAACATCTGGAGGGCCACTGGTTCCCCATCTCTGCACTAGAGGGACTATTCATGCACACAGGGGCACAGATGTGCGCATTCAAAGGGATGTAAGGCTCAACAGAACTCTTCACCTTTCTAGGTGCAACAGGGGAGCGTATACACAAAATTTCACTGGTCCACTGCATGCTTCTTGAAGATTCACCCAGTTTATGTCTAACAAGGCAGCACCAATCTCTTGAGTTCTCACACATTACATGAGTTTTCCCCAAGTTGGGGAGGCTCATTTGACAACAGAAGAAATTTAGAAACCTGCAGAACTTAAAATCTTGTGAATTTAAAATCTCTGTAACTCTGCAACGTGTAACTCATTGGGAGATGTTGACGTTTTTGTTTGTTACTGCCCATTTAGAAAAGGCTAAATGTTGGCATTATGCAATAGGCCTATCCATCGATTCACGCTCTGCTCAGGTGTGGTCCAGGAAATTGACACCAGAAGCAAAATGAGACCTTCATCCTTTTACAACTCCTGGCATCCATTCATTTCCTACAGGAGACGTAACAATCAGTCAAGGCAATGTCCCCAGACCCACGGAAACATTTGGGGAGACGTGTTGTGTTCATAGCTGTCAACTTTCAGATTTGAAAATAAGGGATCAGCAGCCTCAAAAGTAAGGGATCAGCAGCCTCACCTGTCCCGGGGACAGTCTACGGGATATCTAACAATCCGGGATAGCAGCAGGAAGCAGCGGGAAACGGCGTTGGAATAAGGGAATTTCCCGCAAAAAAAGGGAAGGTTGACAGCTATGGTTGGGTTAGAGGTGTTAATAATCACCATCAGAGACAACAGCTTGCGAGGGCGATTTGGGGGCTTTGAAAATGTCCCTTGTGTGTATTCAGTTTTACTGAGTCCCTAATCTAAACCACATTCCCCTTACCAAGTGCTGACAATAGCATTTCCTACACTCAACTTTTACTCAGTTTGATAACCCAAAACCCTAGATCAAAACCTCAGTCTGTTTCACAGTTAGTCACCCTCTTCTTTTGCTTCACATATCATCTCAGTGCCAAGCTTAGGGCACTGGAAACCCTTGGACAAGATGCCCAGAATGAGCACCCTTAAACTGTGAGGATACACAGGTGAGCAAATGGACAGCTCCTCCTCCTCCTGTTTGACAACCTTGCCAACTACACACTCCTGGAGGAGGGAGAGTGAGAATGTGCTCACATTGCTGCCTTAGAGTGCTGGTGAATTTGTTTTTGTATCTATTTCACAGCGCTTCCCCCACCCCATCTGCTCAAATCCGCATGGCTTCATTAGTGTCAGATTCAGTCCTATTAGTGTACACACCAGGGGGAATTGATGGGGTGAAGTGGTCTTCACCCTTTGCAAAGGTGTGCATACCTTGGCTAGAGATGAATTAGGAATGGCTTAAGGACTCCAGTTGATGTGAAGCTGGTTTAAGAAACAACACACCAAATAGTATTTCATAATGAGGTACAGTGTATGCATGCATTTTGGATAACTTCCTGGGGGCATGGATTAAAAACCCCACACCAGAAATGCAGTGGGTACACAGTAAACGGTAGTGTGAGCTCAGCCTGAGTCGGTGGCAGTGGCAGAAGAATTACCTAGCATTATCTAACAAAAATGAAACCCTCATCTAGTATTGTTTCTCATTGCTCATCTGCTCTGCCGGATAAAGGAATAGACCTCAGCCTGTTTGCTGCAGCTGTAGCAGAATCTGCATCCTGCTAAGGCCTCAAATCAATACTTTGCTGCCAGTATTAAAGTCATGTTTGGCATAAACTGATTTTCTCATTGAACTTGGAAATAACAGAACAGCTAGCAGATGCATCAGCTTTACCTGAAGAAGCAAGCAATTTTAGAGCAACATCAGCACCCCTGTATTCCTGCCCTGATAGCACATGG